CCAGCTCAAAACAGAATGCATATGTGTATGTGTATATGATGTATATATCATATATATATATATATATATATATAACAAAATATATATATATATGATTTAAAATTTTTTGAGACAAGTGTGGCTGTCCTGGAATTCACCATGTAGACCAGGCTGTCCTCAGAATCACAGATCTATCCACCTGTCTTTGTGTAGCATGATTCACAGTGAAGGACAGATCACAGTCACAGGCCTATCTACCTATGTACCCTCTTATCCTGGAGTGTAAACTCCCTCTCACAAGGCAGCTGTCAAGACAATTCAACAAGTAAATGTGCCAGTTACCAAGCCTGAGGACCTGAGTTCAATCTCTAGGACCCACATGATGGAAGGAGAGAACCAGCTGCATCAAGTTGTCCCTGACCTCAGGGGCCTCAGCATCTCACAGTGAACATGTTCTCTTCAGCCAGTTGGGAGCAGATGTAGGTATGGTCATTTGTCTTTAACGAACAAACATGTTGGAACTCGAGGGAACAGAGCCATGTACACAGCTATATTTTGTCAGAAAGTCCACAAAACCTGGCATAAAGGAGACTTGTATAACAAAACTTTCTAACGTATTCAGTGAAACGTGGAAAGCTGAAGCCCTGGCCCAGGGTCCTGGGTAGAAATATGATATAAATCAAACAAATGAAATTCCAAAATTAGCAGCATAAATTGGAAAACCAATAGAAATTATAAATGGGCCTTAAATTATGTACAGAAAAAAGTTAACTAATGATATTTTTTTTTTTTTGGTTTTTTCGAGACAGGGTTTCTCTGTGTAGCCCTGGCTGTCCTGGAACTCACTCTGTAGACCAGGCTGGCCTCGAACTCTCGAACTCAGAGATCCACCTGCCTCTGCCTCCCAAGTGCTGGGATTAAAGGCGTGCGCCACCACCGCCTGGCTTAACTAATGATATTAATCCCCACAGTCCTGCCTGCCTTCCACAAGGCAGGGAAATGCTAACACTGCCTCATCCACTGTAGCCTTAGCTTGAGAGCCAGACACAGTAGCTCAGGGCAGCAGTTCTCAACTCATGGGATGGGACAGCTTTTGGGATCCAACGATGCTTTCACAGGGGTCACATATCAGACATCCTGCATATCAGGTACCTACACTATGACTCACAACAGCAGCAAAATGATAGCTGTGAAGTAAATACAAAATAATATTACGGTTTGGGGGTGGGTCACCAGAACATGAAGAAATAATTTTATTGAATGGTCACGGCATTAGGAAATATGAAGGTTGAGAACCACTGCTCTGGGAGGCCTGTAGTTACACACTTCTGAGGCTGAAGCAGGAGGATTGCAAGGTTGAGGCCAGCCTGTGGAGACTGATGCTTTTGTCTCTGTTTTACTGTGTCATCAGACTCTGAAATAAATCAAACATAGGAATCCTAACTCAGCTGAAGGCTCTTAGAGATCCGGCCCCTCCCTTAATGGAGCAAAACCACATAAATAAACATCACGTGTCTCAGACATTTGAAATCAAAGAGAAGCAAATGCAGGAAAGGCTTTACATTGTTCCAGTTTTCTCATTGCACAGTTTGTAAACTAGACTGAGTTTTATGAAGATTTGTGCAGTTTTTATTGTATTGAAAACATTTGTACAGATCTTAAAAATACTTTTCAGTAAGTTCTGATAAATATGTTCTTATAACTCACACCTCTATCAAGATGTGGTTATCCATATACACACAAAAATCATATGTTGGGGTCAGGAGAAGTGATACTGTCTAGGGAATAACAGAGGAAAGCGGAGATTGTGGACAAACACAGCCGAGGTGCATGGCAAACTTGCATCAAAGTGTATTTACAAAACCAAATACTATGTACAAGGAATATGTTCCAATAACAATTTATTTTAAAAGAGAGATGTGGGGGCTGAGAGATGGCTCCAGGGTTGAGAGTATTTGCTGCTCTTGCAGAGGACTGAGTTTGGTCCCCAGCATGCTCGTTGGGTGTCTGGAGTTGCCTGGAACTCCAGATCTAGGGTCCAATGTCTCTTCTAGATTCCACGGGCATCCACATGTGCACACCCACACACAGAGACACACACATGCACATTAAAATGCAATGTTCACAATGGAGAAATGTGCTTTATGAACTGCACACAGAGTGCACTGTGGACTTAGCCCATTTGACCACTATCCCAACTTTACAATATAGAACAAGCATTCTGCCCTAAGATTTGTAATAAAAAATTATATAGCATATATTCTTTAAAATATTATTCATTCATTGTATTTCTGTGTATATGTGCATTCCTGCATGAGTTTATGTGCACCACACACATTAAGGTGCCATGGAGACTGGAGTGTGCCCTGGAACTGAAGTTCAAGGCAGTTGTGATTCCCATACAGGAACAGGAAAGGAGCTCCGTTCTCTGCAGCAGTCAGGGCTCTTCACACCTGATGCATCTCTCCAGCCTCAGCGTGTCTTCCTGTTTCTGACTTCTTTCAATTTTGTGTGTGCTTACCTTTGCTTTGACCTTTTTTCATTTATCTTTAAGTGTGTGTGTGTGTGTGTGTGTGTGTGTGTGTGTGTGTGTGTGCTTTTCTACAAGAGCACCATGTATGTGCTGTGCCCTCAGAGGTCAGAAGAGGGCATCAGATCCCCTGCAGCTGTAGTTACAGATGGCTGTGAGCCGCCTTGTGGGTGCTGGGATCTGAACTTGTGTCCTCAGCAAGAGCAGCCAGTGCTCTTCTCTGCTGAGCCGGCTCTCCGCCTCTCACCTCTTCTTTGATTTCTGTCTGTAGCTTTTCCCTTCTATTACTGAGTAGAGGTCTGCTGTAAGAACAGATCACAGAGTCTCCACAGCGCGCTCTCCCACAGAGCTGCCTGCAGGTTGTACAGGGAACTTCACGGATGCAGCTTCTGTGAGTCATTGTCAGGTGGGGGTGGGCTGTGTGTGTGTAGCTGCCTCTGAGTCACCATGTGCCTGTATGTAACTCCTCTCCCGTGATCTTGTCCATAATTCCAGTAAACTCACTGCTTCCCCAAGCTAGACCTGGGCAGCATCATCTCATTAGTGGGCTGTCTGTGTCCTGTCAGGGTGAGCAGTGTCAGTCTCTGCAGGAACTCAAACAACATCTAGTAAAGGTCTGTGAGCATCCCCCAGGCAAAGATCACCAGATAAACAAGAGGGAACTCACTAGCTGGAGTCACTGGGCCTCCTCCTTACAACCCGTTGGAACTAAGGAAGTGAAGCCTGTGGGAAGATCTACAGAGAGAAGTGTTGCTCTTGCTCGTGCAACTGTGGGGTGAACTGGCATGGCCACGGCCTGCGGGGCAGATGGGAACTCAATGCAGGCAGAGGACACAGTGATTCCCCTTCCTCAGACAAGTCTTGACTTGCTCTTAAGGCTCCCAGCTGTGGTCAACTCAGCCTGATTGTCCAGGATCATCTCCCTACTTAACATCGTCTGGTTATAGAATTAATCACACCCACAAAATACCACGACAGACACAGGGGTATTTGTTGAATAACAGGACACTATAACCTAGACACTCAAAACCAGTCACTATATTATCTGAAGGGAATTTTCCCTTATTCCACCAACAAGTGGGTAGAAGTAGACACACTCTGTGATTACCTTAATACATTTGCCTAGAAGGAGGCAAGCCCTCAGTGATGCTAATGCCATAGCAGCACCTACTTCATTGTGTCCAGGCAGGTGCTAGGGTGTCCCATCCCACCCCTCACAGTCTCCATCTCTGTAAAGGATAAGGGCTTGCACACTTGTCTCAGGTCAGAGGAGCTGGTCCCAAATGTCCAGGAGCTTGTGGCCTCCACAGAGTAGAAAAGACTCAGATTTCTACAAGCACTAGAACCCACAATGGTTCCAGAGACTTAATCCACAGATTCACACACTTATCTGAAATAATCACAGAAGAGAACAAAACAAACAAACAAACAAACAAAAGATGTGGAAAATCCAGTAGTTTGGAGAAGAAAGATACTTTTCCAAGTTTCAAAAATTCCCCTCAACATTTCACTGAATGCTCTCACATTTAAAAATATATTAAGAATAATTGAGCTAGCCAGAACTTTCTTCTGTGTTCAGTGTCCCTAAACTCCCTTTAAATGTAGTCAGGCAACATTAACAAGCAGAGGACAAAAATTACTCAAAAGAAGAGAAGAAACCTGGATAAGACACTGGGAAGTCCTGAAGGCACCCACAGGTCCTGCATTCCTACTGGAAACACCAGGTCTTCTGCCCAGAGCAAAGAGCCTCTACACCTGGGCCCACACAAGCAGAAAGAGCAAAGAAATTGACTGGCCACTGTCTGTGGAACCCTTGAAGAGTGGATCCACTCACAATTTGGAGTATTCTGTACACAGTATGGAGAGAAAATAAGGAAAAAACAGCTAACTCGTGATGTCGCTATTTTTATTTTATCAGCAGTAACAACAGCCTTCATTTCTGTGAGGAAGAAACCTCTGTCATCAACAGGGCCATGGGAGGATGGGGTAGTTTTGATTGACAGTTGCTGTGCAGAACGCCAGACTGTAACTTGCCCACAGCCCCTCACGGCACCCTACATGCACTGTCTGTCGACTGACCCCGCTCTCCTCATAAGCCCGAGAAAGTAGCTGGGTGTCGAGGTTGGAGAAGCACCAGGAAAGGAATAAATTCAGGAGAGACTTTCTGGACAGTGCAGCTCAGACAGTTATGAAAAACAGTATTATTGTGGATGAGTTCATCTATCCATGAAGCTTTTCAGAAATCCCCTCCTCTCTTGCCATCTGCACACATAAGCACAAGACAAAGAGTCTGACTCGGAACCCCTTTTCCCCAGGCATTCCCTCAGTCCACTCTGAGCAGAGCCTGCAGCAGGTCCAGGGAGTTCCCCTAGCCTCTTCCAGGCCTCTCAATACAAAGTCTGCAGCTGGCAACAGTGATGTCATCACAAGGGAATTTTCTGATTGGGTCTGGCAAGTTTGGTTTGGGTGTGTGATCTCCTTGGCTGGATCCTCACAATCTCTTGAAGACTCAGGAGAGCAGCTGCAGAGTCCACCCAGAGGACAGGATGCCACTCAGCAGAGCTCTGATTCTGGGGGTCCTCGCCCTGACCACCGTGCTCAGCCGCTGTGGAAGTGAAGACGACATTGAGGGTGAGTTGTGCAGCTGAGGGACACCTGGAGCTGGGCAATGGGAAATCCACAGAAGAGGGAGATACAAATTGTCAATATTAAGAAGTCTAACAATTATGTGATTCCTTCTTCGGGAGGCTCTGGTTGGCGAGCACAGCTCATGATCCACCAAGCCATGGTTCTAACAGTGGACCCCATGAGGGAAGGATGGAGGGCTTTGTAAGAGGCGGGGTTTTCTCAGAACTTGGGAGAGTTTCCACGAATGATGGTTCTAATTATTAAAAATCCATGAACTATTACTCTCAAATTTCTCTGAGAGTCTCTGAGGCCCTTCCTACCTGTAGTGTGTCCTAAGGAATCATGTACACAAACATTCAGCAAATGCTTCCCCTATGTTGGGCTTTACACACACCCTTTTCAAGTTAACTGAGGCCATGGTGGGAAGGAGCTCACTATTTTACTGCGCAATCCTCCAGAATCTGGGTCGCATCATGTGTCACCTCACAAATGACTAAGTCAAGTAAACATATAGATGTGGTTTTAAAATAGTGGAAACCAAGGTGGGCCTGGCAATGCATGCTGGTGACTACCGGCTTAGGTGCTGAAGCAGGAGGATGGTGAGTTCAAGGATAGCCTGAGCACATAGTGAGATCATGTCTCAGAAAAGTATCCATTCATTAGTAAATGCCTATAAATGCCATTTTGTTTCCACTATAGATACAATTTAATATTATTGTAACAAAGTAGGGAATGTGAGCTGCCTGTTCTACAACCCACTAGTACCCCCATGAAGTTCTGTGACAATACCCCAGGCAAGCACAAGCTACACCAGCCTGTGGTCCTCTGTCTGTATTACCCACCTCCCTCCACACTCTGCCGACATTCCTCGTCCTCTCTTAGATCCCTCCTTAACTCCACGCTGTGTTACAGACATGAATAGGAGCTGTGTAAAACAGCAGATGAAAAGTCAAATGTCTGAAGCAGGAAGTGAAAGGGGTTGAGCGTCCTTGTGAAGCATGGCCTCTCTTTCCAGCATTGGTGGAAGGTGGAAGTCTCCCCTGCTTCTCCAGGGAGTGGTGGTTTCTTTGCCTCCAATTTCTTTCTTCAGTGTCACGCTAGGGCTCTCCAATCTGTTGTGAGCAGGCACCATGGGCACAGTTCTGAGGAACCACAGAACTGAAGGGTTTCATAAAAATATCCCCATTTCTTTTTAATTTAGAAAAAAACTGGAAATTTCAAGGTCTGAGAAAATACTTTGACTTTAATTTAGCCTATATTACATTTTCTTATATATAAAATATGACTTTCGATATTTTCATCAAAGATGGGCTCCAAAGCTAAATGTGTGGGGCACACAGGTCCTAACACAGCCCAGGTCATCACTGACCCTGACTTTCACGTGGTTCTGACACCTGTCCATCATTCCCAAAGTCTCCATGGGCCTCAAAACTAGCAATCATCACTCAATATTCACTTTGTCAAGTATTTCCTCAGCTAACAAGTCGGTGCTGAAGTATATAAACCTGCTGCCTGCCCCTAGGGAGTGGGTAGACTAGTGAAGGAATCAGATCAAGGTCAGGAAGCAGAAAGGCCTTTGTGGGGAGTGGACACAGCTGAGGGCAACACTGTACCAGCAGGGGGCAGTGTGGAGTCCTCAGCAGCACCTGAGGCCCAGGACAAGCACCCGCTGAAGTGAACACTGTGTACATCCACAGTTGGAAAGGACGTCGAGAAGGTTTATTAATAATGAATAAGGGAGCTTTGAGGGAGAGGTGTGGTGTGTTATTGGCTGATAATACCAACCAAGATGGCCGCACTGGGAAGGGAAGGGCCAGAGGAGCAGTTGAATGTGGATAGACAGAGAGACAAAAGGGATTGAGAGGGTCATAGTGCAGTTGGAAGCCTATTAATTAAAACTGAGCAGAAACCTTCAGAGTAGAGGAGGATTTCAGCAAACAGAAAAATGACAACAGCAACAACAACCTTCATTTCTGTGAGAAAAAAGAGACCCCTGCCATCACCAGGACCATGAGAGGATGGGGTAGTTAGTTTTGATTGACAGTCGCTGTGCCGAACTGACTGTAACTTACCCACAGCCCCTCACAGCACCTCACATGCACTCTGTCAACTGACCTCACATTCATCAAGCCTGGTGACTGCGGAGGCCAGGCCTGGCTGCCCAGTTATCCCTTGAACTGCACTACGTCTGACACTTGCTAGAAGTCAATAAATGAAGAAGGAAGAAAAGACTTATAAAAAAAAAAAGTAAATAGTAGATCCGTGCCTTGCTGATGTTTACTTGATGATGATGTCTACTTGGCGTCCTTTGGGTTCACCTGTCCACACTGGCGGCCATTCTCCTCAGCAGCTCACACATGCTCACTGTCAGAGGAAAAAGTTTTACTTCACAGTGAATCTACCAGTGAACATCAGGGTTGATTTAGAAATAAGAGGTGAGAAGAAGCACAGAAGAGGTTTACAGAAGCACAGAATCCAATAAAGTCTCTATTTCTTTTACTCCAGAAGACAGTCCTGTGGGTCCCCAGTTAACGCTGGAACGTTAGACAGAACTTCCACACACTTTGTCATGATGTCACTGTTCTCTTATATAAAGTTCTATATGCTTTTTCTGTGTTAAGAAAGAAAAAGAAGAAAATTCCTTGTGTGAAAAATGCCCTTTTTTTTTTGAAGGAAAGTAAAATGCAATACATTATTAACTGATAGAAGATCAATGAGATACAAAACCTAGTAAGAGAAGGAAACATGCTGACTGAATCTTTGAAAAGAAAGCTTTCTCCCTCCGTTCAGTTTTAAGCTACTTGGCTTGAGATATCTGTGTACCAGACAGTGGATGAGGCAGTCAGGATGGCAGAAATCAAACCCATGACATTCCACTGTGATGTTCCACATGTCACAGAGGGAAAGACTGGAGTGTAACCCACACCAAGAGCAGGAGGGAGGAGCAGATGGTAAAAATGAATCAAAAGAATGAAGTTCATGGTATTTTTTAAAAGCATTTCCATCAGTTTGTTTAATAACGTTCTTTTTTCTTCCTGTTTTCCATTTTTCCACTAAATCCATCAGCCAACCACGTAGGCAACTATGGTATAAATGTGTATCAGTCTTATGGACCCAACGGCCAGTACTCACATGAATTTGATGGTGATGAGTTGTTCTATGTGGACTTGGATAAGAGGGAGACTGTCTGGAGGATTCCTGAGTTTGGACAACTGACAAGCTTTGACCCCCAAGGTGCACTGCAAAACATAGCTACAGCAAAATATAACTTGGACATCATGATTAAGAGGTCAAATTCAACCCCAGCTACCAACAGTAAGTACAAACCACCCTGCTACACCCTCCCCTCCTGGGGCTGGTGGTTGGATATGATCTGTGTATAAATGGTTCTATAAAATCCTCTCCTTCCCAAGGAGCACCCAGACCTCTTTATCACTGGATACTCAACCTCTCTTTCCTTAAAAATCACACATTTCATGTAATGCACAGCTCAATGTTCCCATAATGCACTCCTTGAATCTTTTGAAGAAGCCCCGACAGACATCCTCCCTCACACCCTAGAGAGAAGAGCACATGGGGTAAAGTGGATGCAGTGCACATTAGCTCCAAGCAGGAAGGATGATCAGGCTCTGTGACCGTCATGGTTTTAAGTCTTATCACGAGGGCTCCCTCACCAGACAGTGCAGAGCTTCAGGGAGAGACGCTCCCTCAACCTCTAACACCTTGACCATCTCCCTTGCAGAGGTTCCTGAGGCGACCGTGTTCCCCAAGTCCCCTGTGCTGCTGGGTCAGCCCAACACCCTCATCTGCTTCGTGGACAACATCTTCCCTCCTGTGATCAACATCACATGGTTGAGAAACAGCAAGTCAGTCATGGAAGGCGTTTATGAGACCAGCTTCCTCTCCAACCCCGACCATTCCTTCCAAAAGATGTCATACCTCACCTTCATCCCTTCTGATGATGAAGTTTATGACTGCAAGGTGGAACACTGGGGCCTGGATGAGCCGGTTCTGAAACACTGGGGTGTGTATGAGCTCTGCCCACTTCTGGCACTTTCTAGTTCATTGTCATCTCTAGAACAGCATGTCTTCTGGCTCTCCAGAGACAGAGCAGGAGAGTCATCACGAGTTTAAGGCCATTTTCAAGTTTAAAGAGTTTCTAAGGCTAGATTTCATTTCATTCCATAAGCCCAGCCCACAAAGTCTATGTAGATTAACTTTCTCCCTCACCCTGGCCCTATCATACACATACAGGAATATGCTCCCTTCTGACTCCAAAACTTGTCTTTCTCAGAACCTGAGGTTCCGGCCCCCATGTCAGAACTGACAGAGACTGTGGTCTGTGCCCTGGGGTTGTCTGTGGGCCTCGTGGGCATCGTGGTGGGCACCATCTTACTCATTAAAGGCCTGCGATCAGGTGGCCCCTCCAGACACCCAGGGCCCTTATGAATCACACCCTGGAAAGGAAGGTAAGTGTCTGTGTTTGTGGAAGACGAAGCCACCACACATGGGGAAGGAAGGGAAGGGGAGGGACTAATGGAAACATGGTTGGAACATGGTAGGAGAACTGTGTCATGACATCATCACAGCTCAGGAGCCTCTGGAACTCACCTGTCTCCTGTCTGGTTTGTGGCAGGCATGTGGCCCTCTCCAGGGAGGAAGTAGTGTGCTAAGTGACCTGGAGCAGTGTGTCTTCCAGTCCAATGCATCATCGTCTTCATCTTGCCTGAGCGACCGTCCCCCATCTGTCTTTTCCCTTGGCCCTAAGTCTGTCCCTGGTCACAGCTCACACATCCTTGGCATTCTCCCCTGATCTGAGTTTTGTTTTCTGGCATCTTCCAAATTGTATGTACTGTAGACTCTCTCAGAACCCCTGATTAAATAGCTCCACAAAACCAATAAATCTCCTCTTATATGTTGTCTACTGGTTTTTGTTTTGTTTTCTTGTCTTTTGTTTTGGAGCTTACTAGAGCCAGGCCCACGTAATTTCATTTTTCAATGACACAGGAAACAACCAAATACAGTCCAGAATGCTTGGGTAACTTAGCTGAGGTTGAACTTTCTCTCTTCATTTTGTTCCCAGCCCTGACCACTCTCTTCTGTCTCCAGTCAGATTCAGGGAGGTAGAATGTGAAATCTGCCTCAGTGTGCACTTGTGAGGAAATACCAAGGCACAGGGTGCACATCAGTAATTCCAGCACTCCAGAGACAAAACAGGAGAGTTCTCACAAGTTTAAGGCCAACCTGGTCTGCCCAAGGCAAGTTGGAGCTATAGAGAAAGGTCCTGTCTAAAAAATTAGAGACAGAAAAGAAAAAAAGAACTACATTTATTTTATGTAAGCTCTAATGAAAAGAACTTTGAATCTCAAAAGTGAATAAAAGTTTTAAGAAAATTTATCAAAAGTCAAAATTGTTCTCAAAACATATGGACTCATAAATCGGCACACCTCTAGGTGTGCCTCTGAGGTAATTTCCAGAGGCAAATATGTGAGGTGGCAAAAGTCAATCAAGTCTGAATATAGGCAGCAGCAGAATCTTGTGGGCTGGGACAAAGAAAAAGTGAGCTAGCCCTCATCTTTATCTGCATCCTGACTGTGGATGCAGTGTAATCAAACACCTCATGTTCCCCCTGCCTACCCCACCATCATGGACTGTGTTCCCTCAAACTGTGGCCCAAAGTAAATCCTTCTCCCTCCCTCTCTCCTTCCCTCCATCCCTCCCTCCCCCTTCCTCACGTCTTCCCTGCCTGTCTCCCTCCTTCCCTTACCCTCTTACTCCTTCCTTTCCTTCCTCCCTCTCCCTCCCTCCATAAGATGCTACTTTTTCTGTATCTGTCACAGCAACAAGAAAGTAACTCCTGTAGTAACAGAGTTCACTCTCAAAGCTGAGATGACAGGATCCTATAGGTCCACAGCTGGATATGTGGCCCTTCATTAACCAAAACTTTGCCATGTGATGCACAGCTATGGCTATATTTTAGATTTTGATAAAATATACAGATAATTATTAAAATAATATTTGGTAGAGAAAGCTTTAAGTTTGTGATGGTGACAAGGGGCATGTCCTTTGTCCTCACAACAAAAAGATAAAAATCCTTAAAATAGGAAAGGAAATGGATATCTGCAGGCTTAGATTTTTCAAAATCTACTTTAATAAATGTTCTTACATGCCTTAACCTCCCTTCTATCCCTCCACCACCAGAGGCAGTGGAAAGGAAAGGTTAATAGAGCAAAGGAGGATGTGGACCTGCTTAGAAATAGTTCTTTGGCACAAATCCAATCTGCATTGTCAGGATATCACACAAATCAGCAATGGCAGTTCAATCCAAAAGAAACCTCAGGCAGCAAGAAGCCACCAGAATATCACAAGAAATTCTTTGATGCCTTTCTCTCTACTAAGTCACAACAAATGATAATCAGTGAAGAAGGCAAGGCTAACCAATGCCACACAATGACGTCAGGATCAGCAAAGCCCAACAGAGACCAGCAGAGAGTGGCAAGGAAACCAATGACACAACCACCGTCTGTTGGGTTATACTTATGTCCTTTCCAAACATCACATGTTCTCTCAAGCTTCTGCTCCAGCCAAACATCACATGCTCTTTTCCAGGCAGCTTCCAGAAAAACACCACATGTCTATTCTCAACAAAACACCTCCCTAGATGTCAGCAAAAACATCCTCTCACATGTCTGCTTAATCGAAATATCCCCTTATAAGACAGTTTCCAGAAAAATATCACATGACACAACTAAGTCTCCAAAAAGAATCCAGAAATTTTCACTTCAGAGGTTAGTTCCAAAAGCATCAGAAAAGGACGATCATGAAGTAAATACATGGGTTCAGGGAGAAATCAGAAACCACAGACTTCCATGGACCAGACAGAGGTGTGGGTGCCTCAGCTCCTAAATGAAACATGGATAGATGCTACATAGATTTCCCTGCACCACAAAAGACTACTGGAGGCTGTGTGGTGAACTGTGGCTAAAGATGTCTCTAGGCAAATTAGTCCAAGTGGTGCTCACAGAATCTCCTTGTGTCTTGGAAGCAACAGAATCTCATCCCCAGCACTGTACCCTTATTCCTCCTAGTGATGGAGGCATGAGCCTGTGGGAACAAACTCTCAGAGAGCCAACACAGTTTAGAATCTGTAGTGCAGCTGTGGACCAGGCATCCACTGTCCACACTGTCTACACGATTTCTACTGTCCCCACTGACCCCACTGTCCCTGCCTTAGTTAGGGTTTTACTGTTGTGAGCAGACACCATGACCAAGGCAACTCTTATAAGGACAACATTTAGTTTGGGCTGGCTTACAGGTTAACAGGTTCAGTCCATTATCATCAAGGCAGGCAGCATCCAGGCAGGCATGGTGCAGGAGGAGCTGAGAGTTCTACATCTTCATCTGAAGGCTGTTAGCAGAATAGTGACTTCCAGGCAGCTAGGATGAGGGTCTTAAAGCTCAAACTTACAGTGACACACCTATTCCAACAAGGCTGCACCTTCATATAGTGACACTCCCCGGGCTGAGCGTACATAAACTGCCACATTCCACTCCCTGGCCCGAATAGACTTGTTCATTTGAGTCTATGGGGGCCATATCTAAACATAGCATAATACAAAATACATCTAGTCCAACTTCAAAAGTCCCCAAAGTCTTTAGCAGTCTCAACAATGTTTTAAAGTCTAAAATTCAAAGTCTTTTCTGATATTCATCCAATCACTTAACTGTAATCCCCAAAGCAAGACAGGAAAACAAAAGCTGGGCAAACAAACTCCAAATTTTACATCTCCATAACTGATGTCAAAGTAGTCTTCAGATCTCCAACTCCTTTTTCATCTTTGTTGACTGCAACAAACTTCTTTCTCCTGGGATGGTTCTACTCTCTGTTAGCAGTTTTCCTCAGCAGATAGACCATGGCTCTAGCATCTCTAATATCTTGGGGTCTCCAAGGCAACTTCAACATTACAGCTTCTTGTTGCAATGTCAGGGATCTACACGTGACCTTATGGACACCTCCAAAGGACTGGTGCCTTTTCTCCAGCTCTATCCTCTGTAGCACTCTAAGCTCAGGTTGAGTCACTCCATTGGCTGCTGTTCTTGGTGATCATCCAATGGTGCTGGCATCTCCAATACACTGGGGTCTTCCACTATAACTAGGTTTCACCAATAGCCCCTCACAGGCTCTCTTCGTGGTGCCAAGCCTCAACTCCTTTGCATGACCCCTTCAGTCCTAGTCTGTCAACTGCAACTGAGGCTGCACCTTCACCAATGGTCTTCCATGGCCTCTCATAGTGCCAAGCCTCAGCTGCTCTCCATGACCTCTTCATGCCTTCAAAACCAGTACCACCTGGGTGACTCTTACACATTACCAAGTCCTGCTGCAGCACAAGGTACAATCTTGACTGCTTTTGATTACAGCTTCTTTGTGCTCTCAGAAGACACTTCCCAGAAGATTTCACCTCAGTGATGCTGGTCTCTTCTTAATCATTGCCAGTCCCTTAGCTCCAGCTAACTTGAATCAATTTTCCCAGGAGTCTCTTCTATTTTCACTCTAAAGCCAGAGCCACATTGCCAAGTTCTGCCACTTGCAGGAGCTGGAACTTGGCCCCCTTGTTTTATTATATTATCACTAGCTTTCAGTTTTCTAACTCTTTCACTGCCTGAGATTGGCTGCCCTAAATCTTGCTCTGTAGATTGACCTTGAACTCAGAGATCTGCATGCCTGTCTCCTGTAATGCTAGGATTAAAGGTGTGTACCACCATGTCTGGATTTAAACATTTCTTCACCTGGAACTTGCTGTGTCCCAGGCTGGCCTTGAACTCAGAGATCTGCTTGGCTTTGTCTCCTGGGATTTAAGGTATGTACCACCATGCCTAGATCTAAACTTATCTGGGTAGGATCTTGCCCCAAAGGCCCACTCCCTTCACCTGCTATCTCCTGGAACACAGGATTCAGTCCATTTTACTTCCTGGTACCCGTTTAATACTTGTAGTGGCTACTCCTGGTTGCCATCTTGACTATATCTGGAATGAACTACGATCCAGAATTGGAAGGCTCACCTGTGATCCAGATCTTGAGGCTGGGAGACACAAGTTTCTGACCTGGATGCTGGCATGGAGATCTTGAGGCATAGTGACTATGAATCCCAGGAGACTAAGGCAAGGAGATCTCTGAGTTCAAGTCCCAGATCTGGGACACACCTTCGGCTGGAGACCTACATAAGGACATTGGAAGAAGGAAGATTCGCTCTTCTTCACCTGCTTGCCTTGTGGGACTGAGCAACAGCTAGATCCTTGGACTTCCATTCACAGCTGCTGCTGACCATTGTTGGGGAGCTGGACTGTAAGTCATCAACACATTCCCTTACTATATAGAGACTATCCATAAGATCTGTGACTCTGAGAACCCTGACTAATACAACACTGGGACCATGTATTTTATATTTTTCCTTTCTAAGCTTGCTACACTTTCTAAAATGCTCTTCATGAGATTTAACCAGAGAACAAAGTCTATGATGGTTGTTTCTGAGACTTCTTTTGTCAATGCAATTTATCTGAGTCTCTTCACCTTAGCCTCAGGCAGACTCTTCAGACCAAGGCAAGAAGTAGTCATAGTCCTCACCAAAATACCACAAAAACAGTCTCTAGGCCAGATATTGAAATTCTCCACTGAAACTTTTTGGGCCAGGTCTGCACAATTCAAATCACTCTCAGTAACAAAGTCTTCCATATTCCTAGTTGGATAGCCCATTAAACCCCATTTAAAGCATTCCACTGCTTTCCAAATCCAGAGTCCTCAAATCCACATTCTTCTGAACAAAAGCATGGTCTGGCCTATAACAACAACACTCCAGTCTCTGGTACCAACCTCTATCTTAGTTTTCTGCTGTGAACAGACACCACAACCAAGGCATCTCTTATAAG